GCCTTTAGTCTGATGCTCTATCCACTGAGCCAAACCAGCTAGGGCGTGAGTTTTTTTTTATTATTTATAAAAAGCTATAGATCTTAGAATATTTTACCTGGGATTGTGTCATCAGAGGTGAATTGAACAACCCCAAGCTGCTATTTTCATTCAGGGGAAGGGGAATACCTGGCATGTTCTTCTCCACACATTAGCCGCGGGCTGCACGAGACCCACTCCCATTAGGGACAGCTGCCTTTACAATCTCTCCTAAAAACCTTTTACATTTTGGTAGTTTCAGGTTATTTCGGAGGGTTTCCCCTGCAAAAATTCCCACCGGTATTTTTACAATTTCTTGTGATGGAAACTTTTATACAAATACCAAGTAGACAGTCCAGTACAATGAAACCCAGTCATCCAGGCTCACACTTATCAACTCACGGTCAACCTTGCTTCACCCCTGCCCTCACCCACTTCCTGCCCTCCAGTATTGTTGTTGTTGTTTTTTAATTTTAAATTTTTTTGTATTGATTTCAGAGAGTAAGGGAGAGGGAGAGAGGGAAACATTAATAATGACAAAGAATTGTTGATTGGCTGCCCCCTGCACACCCTGTATTGGGGATTGAGCTCACAACCCGGGCCTGTGCCCTGACCGGGAATTGAACCGTGACCTCCTGGTTCATAGGTCGATGTTCAATCACTGAGCCACCCCAGCCAGGCAACCTACAGTATTGTTTAGAAGCAAATCCTGACATCATATCATTTCACGTGTAAATATCTCAATATATAATTCTAAAACACAGGGCTCTTTTAAATATAACACATCCACAGTTCCACTTTTGCACCTAAAAACGAGTATTAATTTCATAATTTCTGATATAGTCACATATTATTTTATAGTAATTCAAACCAGATCAGGTTTTGAGGAAAGCTCGTTTCGCACCATAAGGAGGCAATGTGGCCGCTTCCTGTCTGCAGAAGGAAGGGATGGGATTAAAACAAGGACAGAGATGGGCAAAGGCGCTGACTGTGGGTCAGGGCTGGGCTAACCAGCCATCTAGGACCCTTTCCCGCCAGCACTAGAGTGTCCCATGGGACTGTCGCCCAGGAAGGCAGGGCCCCAGAGGGGACTGACCTGGGGAGGGAGCGCAGTCACCCCAGGGGCACCCTGCCCACCCTCTCCCGCCCTCCCCCCCCCAACTCTCCTCTCTCACCCAGGTTTCCAGGGTGCCCGGTCCTCATGAGTAGAGAAAAGCAATGCATTTTCTCTACTTCTCCGTATGAGAAACTAGCACCAGATGGAGCATCTTAGTTGTAATTGCCCGTTTGTAGACTGGGTAAAGCGTCCACTCTCGGGGCAATCAGTGACTGGGGGTGGGGGGTGTCCCACGTTACAGACACGGCTGCCAGTGGCTTGCCCATGGGGTGTGGTGAGTGGGCAGAACCTCCGGACAAAGCCAAGGGCGCTGCTCATGGGTGGGTTGCCGCCAAGGAAGATGGGAAGGAGAGCGTGTCTAAGGCAGGAGGACGGCTGAATTCCCACGCAGTGGAGCTGGGCTGTCAACTCCACCAGCTCTGCCTCCCGCCCCACCCCCTTCCCCACGCAGGGCTTAGAACTAACACTCCCCTGCAGGTTCCCAACCTGAGAAGCCACCTGCGTCCCGTGAGCAAAGGCCTCCTCTTCCTCCGGTTCAGTCCGGTCCCTCCCCTGTCCCCTAATGGGCTGATGGGCAGGGTGTGGGCGAAGAGGACCCTTGGAGAAACATCTGGGTCCCTCTACCACAGGTGGCCTCCTCTACATGAAAGCCAGGCCAAGAGACAGGTCAGGATAAAGGCCGATTGTGAGATGTGGATGAGACCAAGTTCAGAAGGAACCTAAACTGAATTCAGCTGAGATGCCTAAACAAGGCCTGCTGACTAGGTATCTTCCCGGGTGCTCCTTTTCCTTTCTCTCTCCCCCTCCCTCCCTCCCTTCCCTCCCTTATTTCTCTCTCTTTTTCTCAACAATTCCCCCCACCCCATTTCTTCTTTCCTCTTTATCTAGAGTTCCCTAAACCGAGTTTTGAGGACCGTTAGTGTAACAGTCACCTCAGTGGCTCCTTAAAGATCCAGGCTCTGGCCCTTGCTCCCAGGCATTCGATTCTGTAGCCTTGAGACCTGGCCTGGGAATCTGCCTCTTTAACAAACCAGGAGATTTCGATGGCACCCAAGTTCGAGAACCACTTGCTGTTGACAGAAACGCTAGTTCAGCTGAGCCCTGAGTGTTCCGGTCACTCCTTCGCCTTTGAACAAGATGCATTTTCCTAATGCAACGTGCCCACACCGCTGTGGTGGTGGCGGTGTGAGCCAGCATGCCACAGTTGTTAGTGAAGGCATGGGATGGGATTAAAACAGTACCCACCTGGCACCACACATGGTTATTACAGCGTTACTGACTGTATTCCCTATGCTGTATTTTACATTCGTGTGACTATTCTGTAACTACCAATTTGTATTCCCTAATCCTTTTCACCCAGACCCCAACCCTCCTCCCCTCTGGCAACAATCAGTCTGTTCTCTGTATCTATGAGTCTGTTTCTTTTTTGTTTCTTTTTTTCTTTAGATTCCACATATAAGTGAAATCACATGGTATTTGTCTTTCTCTGACTATTTCACTTAGCATAATTCTCTGTAGGTCCATCCATGCTGTCACAAATGCCTAGATTTTGTTCTTTTCACAGCCGAGTAATATTCCACTATGTTTATGCCCCACAGCTGTTTTACCCACTCATCCACGGATGGGTACTTGGCTGCTTCCATGTCTTGGCTATTGTAAGTACCGCTGCAGTGCACATGAGGGTGCATATATCCTTTCAAATGAGTGTTTTGGGTTTCTTTGGATAGAATAAAGCTTTTTTGTTTAAAGAAATTTTAAAAAAAGCAGTTCTTCCAGGACCAGCCCATGGTCACCTTGCTCAGCAGGCGCCTCACCTGTCTGATTCAGGGCAGCCACGACACCTTCCTAGTGCGCAGCCTCTCCCCAGCTCGGAGCTGTGATGTACAAATCTAAACACTGTTAGAGCAAAGCAGCTTGTGAGGTTTCAAAAATTAGGATTTACCATTTGTAGACATAACTGTTATTATATTAGTCAACTCACGGTACCAATGCCATGTTCAAGAATATTAGCCCATTAGATTGAGGGAAACAGGCAGCTTCCCTAATTTGGAAAGAGAGACGGTGGAGTGATTGGAGCCCAGGAGAGCGTCGTGAGCTTTTCTTGCACCAGGCAGCTGTCTGGGGCAGCTCCCGGGGCAGGAGGAGGGGTATTTAGGGTGTGGACTGTTGGTATAGCTTACATACTATAAACTCATCCACTGCAATGGTGCAGTGAGTTTTAGTAAACTACAAATTGGTAGTTACAGAATAGTCACACGAATGTAAAATACGGGGTATGACACTTTGTAAAGCATATGATTATCTAACCACTATGTTGTGCACCTGAAACTAATACAAAATAATATTGAAAAAATAAAATTTTAAATATTTTAAAAGATAAGGATACTTGAGCCTAAAAAAAAAACAAAACAGCTTTATTGAGGTATAGCTTACATACTATAAACTCATCCACTGCAATGGTGCAGTGAGTTTTAGTAAACTTATATATTTACGGAAACATTATGAATGAATTCCGTTTCCCAGCACTTCCATCCACCCCAAAAGCTCCCTTTGTCCACGTGCAGTCACTCCCTGCTCCCACCTGCAGCCTCAGGCAGTTCTGCCTTTTCTAGAAACTTCCTATAAATCAGTGGTTCTCAACCTTCTGGCCCTTTAAATACAGTTCCTCATGTTGTGACCCCCAACCATAAAATTATTTCCGTTGCTACTTCATAACTGTAATGTTGCTGCTGTTATGAATCGTAATGTAAATATCTGATATGCAGGATGGTCTTAGGCGACCCCTGTGAAAGGGTCATTCGACTGCCAAAGGGGTCTCGACCCACAGGTTGAGAACCGCTGCTATAAATGGAATCATTCCCTATGCAGTCTCTGTCTGGCTACTTTCACTTAGTGAAATGTTTCTGTGTTCCATCCAGGCTGTTGTGTAATCAGTAGTCGTTCCCCCTTTTTTTTTTTTTTAAATATATTTTTATTGATTTCAGAAAGGGAGAGGGAGAGAGAGATAGAAACATAAATGATGAGAGAGAATCATTGATTGGCTGCCTCCTGCATGCCCCTTACTGGGGATTGAGCCCTTAACCGGGACATGTGCCCTTGACCAGAATCAAACCCGGGATCTTTCAGTCCGCAGGCCAGCGCTCTGTCCACTGAGCCAAACCAGCTAGGGCTCATTCCTTTTTCTTGCTGAGTAGTAGTCCACTGGGTGGATCCTTTCACTATCTTGGTTTGCTCTCTCTTTTTTTAAATCTTCACCCAAGGATATGTGTGGGTTTTTTAAAAAGTTGATTTTAGAGAGAGAGAAGGGAGAGAGAGAGAAACATCAATATGAGAAACATCGATCACTTGCCTCCCACTCTGACCAGAGATCAAACCTGCAACCTATGTATGTACCTTGACTGAGAATCAAACCCACAACCTTTTGGTGCCTGGGACGATGCTCCAAACAATGGAGCCACGCAGCCAGGGCTTGGTTTGCTCTCTTAACTCTCTGAAACAACATGTTTTCCCACTGGATGTTTGGAACTTTCCTACAACTAGAAACTCCAATGCTAGACCATTTCTCGCTGTCTCTGCTGGCAGTTGAGAAGAAACCATTGTGTAGGCTGGGGGCGAGATGAGAGGGTAACTTTCTCAGTGCTGGTTCAACACTCAGCTCGCGTCCTTCGATTTCAACTAACGGCACCTATTTTTCAGTGAAAAAAAACATTGCATGTCTTTTAAAAAAGATATAATTATTCATGCAAGGTTTTTTCCTGAAAGATGCTAGTGCCATTTATTAGGTAATCACAATTTTATATGTATTTTACCATAAGAAGATCAACGTAAAAATATGTGACCTATTGTCTTACAAGCTTACCTATCGTCTGTGGCACACACGTGTTGCTCAGGTTCACGGTAGGCTGTAGCACATAAACGTGGTGAAAATGTGACATTCTGTGAATGTGCCCCACGCATCTATTTTGAGTGCATTTTCTCTGGTTCGAGTATCTTTGTGCGTGGATTGCTCTACAAATACTCCCTCTGCTTCCGAGGCATTCTCCAAACACTTTCTGACATAGCCAGCATTCCCGGGTCTTCGCAGATGCCCCAGCTCCTCTCCCACCACCCATTTCCGGCTGCACAGCTGAGCGGCCCAAAGAGGAAAGAGCATCTAGTGGCTGGAGAATTCGCTCAGCCAGCCTTGGAGTCCTTTATTTTTAACAGGATGATTACACAATGTTTCTGACAGCACAGGAAATTCGACACGTTTATTGCTTCTTTGAAAAGGGCCCAATGCCAGGGTATAAAGCGATGATTTATACGCCTCATTCATTCAGAAGCAATGTCTGCACCAACTGTGTGCTAGGGGCGAGGTACGAAGTCGAGTAACCGTCATCCTCAAGGAATGTACGACCTAAAAGGGAGACAGGAACTCGGTGTTGTTCTTTAGGTGGCTTGTGTCTGCTGATGAACTCTGGAGACCTCCATGTTCTTCCTTCGGTTTGGTTTGGCAGAAGAAATCGTGTTGGCATCCTCTCGGAGATAGAAATCCCCTGCTTCGCCAGAACGCAAGTTTCTTTCCAACCAGAAGAGCACGAGTTAGCTGGACCCAACTGCTTTCTGCGCGATCGAAACCCGTCTGCGGCTTCAGGGGCCTCGCATTCTAACCCTGGGCCTGTCTGAGAGGGGACACAGCATGTTCCGAAAGAGCCTGCCCCAGGAGCCAGAGCCACCTGGGTGCTGATTCTGGCTTTGCTGCTAAGTAGCAGGGTGACCTTTAGCATGACTTTGACTCCCCAGGACTCAGTTATTCCATTTGGAAAAGGAAGACCCTTGTGTCACTAAGTTTTTACGGTCTGTTTGGCAAGAAAACTCCATGAGGCCTTTTTCACTGAGGACACAAATCCCTGGCCAACCCTTGTCTCATGGTCATTATTAGCTTACCCGCCTAAGACTTCATGACTTCCATTTTTCAGGTGTTGCACCACTTTTCTTTCCATGGCTTTGTAATAAAACAAAGTAAGAAACACGTCACTGATACAGGTTGACGTTTTAAACATTGATTTTGACTGTGTAGTAATGAGAAAATTAGCTTTCATATTTTAAACACATATACATCACATATATTCTGCCATGAAAAGGAGAAAGCAAGTCATTAAGGTAGGCAAATGAGAAATGAGACTTTTGGGTTTTAGGGTCATTTCTTTCATACTCTTCCAACCTCCAATTCCAACACTGACAAGCCAGGAGGTTGGTGACAGAGGTCGCACGACGCCTGCTGCTGTGAAGTGAAGTAAGGGTAAATCCCCATCTTCATAATGTACAAAGTAGTATTTGCTCATCCTTTGTGTTTTAATGATTAATTTCTTAGATATTTACAAAAGCTTTAGTAAAGTTTTTATAAAAAACAAAAGATGACAAAACGTCAAAAAACATAAAAATAGAAGATTCAGTGTTTATCCTGCTTTCTGTTGATCTGTTGTGAAGCAATGAGGTAGGCATAAAGAACCTGGGTACATTTTGATAAAATGTGGATAAAATTCAAATATCAGGTCTTAGAAAGATCTATAAATCTTTATTTTGATTAAACAAATATCTGTTTGTCAATTTTAAAAAGGGGAATCAAGAAAATTGACCTGAAGGTATAGATATAAAACTTAGGTATAAAGTTCAGTCAAATCTCCAATCAATTAGCCCTGGAAAGATGATAATTATATAATCAGAAAACAGCCCTTCCTGCCGTCATGCCTCAGCCCCAAATGGGAAATAAAAAGCCTGGATGTGATAAAGGCTTGGGACAAAGGCCAGTGTTCCAGTGAAGCTAGAGTTCCCACAGAGAGGCAATGACCAGGAAAGGTCTGATAATGTGAAGGTGAGTTGGATTAATGATGGAATCTTGTCATCAGTGAGCAAAGAGTTTTGCAAATCTGGATGTAAGCTATAGAAAAGTAAGTTTGAAGCAAATGTTGAAATTAGATCCTGTTGCAAAGGACAGAAAATCCAAAGGAATAGAGGCTTAAACATGATTTAAACATTTTCTCCAAACATCCGTATGATAGGTGCCTCAATCAAGAGAAACCCAGGCTCCTGCTACCTTGTTGCTCACCATCCTGAACATGCAACTTCACTGCAGGGGCCAAGACAGCTCCTCAAGCCCCATTTAGGCAGCAAGAAAAAAGAAGGGGGAACAAGCCCCCTCCACTTAAGGACACTCTGAAAGGTGGCAAACACCACCTCCACTACATCTCATGGCCTAGAATCTAGTCACATAGTCACAACCACACACATGGGAGGCTGGGGTTCTGAATTCTGAGTGCTCTGTGCTCAGTTAAAAACTGGGATTCTATTATTGTGGGTGCATGCATGTGTGGAGTAAGGAATTTAACCTTGCCCAAGGAGAAGCCTGGACTTTGCCTTCAGCTTCAGATAGGTTGTCATGCTCGATAGGCGTCTTTGTTTAGCTTGGAGGCTGGCCATGGCAGGAAGTCTATGTGGCTTAGGGTGACCTATGTGGGGGCTTTGGGTCATGTGGGATTAGTCCAGCTTCAAGAGGGCTCTAGACTGAGGTCAGCCATGTGGGAAGTGAGCATTACGACATGATGGGGCCCCAATAAAACTCTGGACTCCAAGCTGGGGAGAGCTTCCCTGGTTGGCAGGAGAGCAACGCTGTCCGACTCCACAGGAGGACAATGGAAGCTCCGTGTCGGGGGTTTTCCTGGACTCTGCCCTCTGTTCGTCTTCCCTGGGCTGATTATAAGCTGTATTCTTTTGCTGATAAATGATATCCTGGGTACAATAGTCTTCAGTGATTTCTGTGAGCCTTTCCAGCAAATGATTGAAACTAGAATTGGTTTGGGGATTCCCCTGAACCTGTAATTGGTCTCAGAAGTTAGAGTGGTTTTATGTAGACTGTGCTCACTAACGCATCACATCCCAACCATTTCCTCACAATGACACAGAGGAGCAAGAGGACAAGGCTGCGTGTGGCCTGAGGCTCTATGTGCTCCAGGACTCCCCTGCCTGCCCCAAAAGCAAAGATACCGATATCTGAACAAATATAACTCATGTGACACCACAGCATGCTGCAATCAAAGATATTCTGCTGTAGAAGGGGGAGCAGGGGCTGCTTAGCAAACTAGCCCAGCACAACCTGCCCTTCAGCCGCCCAGATATCCCCATGCCTTTCTTCCACCTGTAGTGCAGTCATACCTCTCCCAGGAGCAACACCCTCAAGGTCCCATGTAACCACAGCCTGCAGCGCAAACACCGGCATCTCGGTTGTACAGAGCACGTCATTGGTTCAGAGAGGCTCCTTGCGTTCTGGAAACCCATCAACTAAAAGAAAAGGTATCTACCTCAAAATGAGCAGCACACCGTGGTGCAGCAGGAAAAGAGCAGTGAAAAGAAAAACTCCCATCTGAAAAGAAGGTTCATGGCAGAGACCCCGCAGATCTTGGCCGTAGCACTGAGCAAACCCTATGGAACGGTGAGGGTCCCCTTCTCTGGCAACAGTGCATTTCGTGGTCAGCCCATCTGAATACCTGCGGCTCTGGGACAGTCTCTTGCTCATTACCCGCCCAGCTGCCCTGAGGGAGGACGGCCTTGTCCCCCATCTTTAAAAGACACATCAGAAGCGAGCACTGGCCCGGCCAGTGTGGCTCAGTGGTTGAGCGTCAACCTGTGAACCAGGAGGTCACGGTTCGATTCCCGGTCAGGACACATGCCTGGGTTGCCGGCTTGATTCTCAGTGTGGGGTGCACAGGAGGCAGCTGATCAATGATTCTCGCTCATCATTGATGTTCTATCTCTCTCTCCCTCTCCCTTCCTCTTTGAAATCAATAAAAAAAAAAAATTAAGATAAAAATAAAAAGAAGTGAGTACTGGAGGGTTTACCCATCTCGGGAACTGAACAGCATGGGGGCCGAGGAGGTGCTTGCTGGGTTGTTCGGTCGCCTGGCTAGCAGGCCATTTCATGGTCTCTAACAACATGATGACTGCCCTCGCCAGATTTAGCAAATTGAAAAACAGGAAACACCGAATTCCCAGTCAAACCTGAATTTCAGATAAACGATGAATAACACTTGAGAATTAAAATATTTGAGACATACTTATCCTAAAAAACGATTTGTTGTTTTGCTGAAACCCAAATTTAACCGGGCAGCCCGTGTTGTATTTGGCAGCCCTACTCCATTTTCAAGCACCAGAGCCCAGATCCCCGCCTAGACTTTTTTTTTTTTTTTTGCCTGAAGTGGTCTGTCTTTCAGCTGCCGGTCGGTCGCTGTGCTCCCTCAGCCCCTTCTCTTCAAGTTACTGGTCGCTACCTTCCGGTCTTAGGACATGAAGGGCTCTATAGGAAGGTAACACCCTGACACGGGCGTTTGCCTCCGACTGTCTGGCAGAGAAATTGAGATACAAAGCCCTTCGTAAAACTTGAGAGTCAGTGACACCGGCTGCCCAGGCTGCCTTTGCGGGGTAGGAACGAAGTGGGTCGTTTAACCAGCAAGACCACTTGCGACCAGCTTATCCGTCACATCACACGGCGGGCACCGGGCACAGAGCTTCCTTGAGAGTCAGTGACACCGGCTGCCCAGGCTGCCTTTGCCTGGGGTAGGAAAGCAGTGGGTCGTTTAACCCAGCAAGACCACTCACCACCAGCTTATCCGTCACATCACACGGCGGGCGGCGGGCACAGAGCTTCCCTGGCGGAGCGATGTTGCCCGCTCTGTTACAGACTGGCTGGCCTCCCACCCACTTCACGTCTGTCCCCGGCTCTGTAGGAAGTGGCAGGAAACAGCTGAACGTGCCCCAAATTCTGAAGTTTTCCAACCATTTTTCCTAACGCTCAGCCTTGGTCAACAGGGAGTGTGCCTTCTAAAGTAACACGGGGAACCTGCCACCAAATACCTCCTGGCCCCGGCCGGCTGGCCGCCTTCTTCCTGCTGCGGTCCGAGTCCTGGCCGTCCAATTCCTAAGGCAGGTCAGGCTGAGGGTCAGACATTTCCTCACGTCTAGATGCTGAATCCTGTGCAGTTCGGACTGGAGTCAGCTGCAAGAGTCAGAAACGAGAGGAACAGTCACTTCAGCAGGTATGTTCGTGTCCTGTTGCTACTGTCACAAATCACCACACATTCAGCGGCTTAAAACAACACGGATTTATATTCTTTAACGTTGTAGAGGTGAGAAATCCGAAAGGAGACTTCTGGAACTAAACATCAAGGCTCAGCCACGCTCAGCCCCTCCGGAGGCTCCAGGGAGCAGCGGATTCGCTGCCCGGTCCAGGTGCCTTCCTCACGCACGGCTCCTTTCCATTGCAAGGCGCATCCCTCCAACCTCTGCTGCCCCATCCTCACATCCCCCTTTTCTGTCTCAGACGTTCCTCCCTCCCTCTTATTACCCCTTCATTACACTTTCCCACCAGGGTAATCAGGGACCATCTTCCCATCTCAAGATCCCGAAATTAATCACACCTGCAAAGTCCAGTGTCCGGTAACGTGGTCACAGTTCCCAGGAGTTGGATGTGGACATCTTCCTATGGGGGTGGGGTCCTACTCTGTCTACCACAGCAAGAAGGAAACGTATTTCTCTCTCAAATCAATGTCGGCGGTCAGGGCCAGAACGGAGGGTCCGTGGTCAGAAAGGGCTCAGGTTCCCTCTCCCTTGTCTCTCTTCCATCCTTAGCCAGGAGTTTCCACCTCAGGGTGCAGGAGGACTCCTCAAACTGCAGCCAACACACCCACACTCTAACCAGCAGGCGGGGAAGGGGAGAGGAAGGCCTTGCCCCTCTCTTTAAAGATACGTCCCAGAAGTTGCACACTCGGCGACCATGAACATCCCACGGGCCAGCACTTAGTCACATGGCCACACTAGCTGCAAGGGTGACGGGAAAACGTGGGAGTTATTCTGGGTACATCGGGGCTTCTACTACCGCAGAGGAAGGGGAGGGTATGCATTGGGGGACGTCTAGCATTCCCTCCAGAGTGTCTGACTAAATCCCTAAGATTATGTGCACATTTTCAGAGAATGACTTTAATTCACAAGCCAGTGTGCTTAATTCCAGAAGGCAGACAGTTTTCACCTAACTGCTACTAGGTTCGTGCAGATCTGCGGAGAAAGGCAGCAAGCATTCTCCATGGAGCACCTAAACCAACGTTTCCTTAAACAAAAATCAGAGGCATTTATATAAATAACTTCCAGGGAAGAAGAGATGGAATGGAAGTCTGATGGTTCCAGAAATAAGCACAGGAGTGTCTTCTCCAGACGCTTAGAGGGTACGGAGTGCTCAGGTTATCAGTGAATGGGTACTTTGAGCTCTTACAGAATGGGTGTGGCAGCTGGAGGAGGTGCAGCTCACAGAGGAGGTGAGGTCCCAGGGCACAGAGAGCCAGGAAATGGTCCCTCTTCCTGTGCTGACCATGAGTTTCATGAAGGCCGCATGGGCACACCTCATGGGAATGGGGTTTGGATGGACAAGGGACCCCCTCCCCCATCCACAGGTAGAACCCTTCTCTCTCCCAGCTCAATAACCAGGTCAACACCGGGACGCGCTCCTAAAATGTCCTCTCAATGCCCACTTCTTTCCATCCCGTATTATTACCACGATCACTGTCCAGTTCCTCTTGTCTCTTGCTACCATGACTGCCAACGTTTCCTAACAGAGATGTCTAGTGAGAGGTTACTCTGCACACGGCAGCCAGAGGATCTCTCTAAAGCACAAAGCTGATCACCTCATGTCAGGGTGACTGTGTCCCCCCATAAAGGAAGTCAGAGTCCTCACCCCTAGCACTTCGGCATGTGACCTTACTTGGAGGTTGGGTCTTATTATTTTTTTATATATATATTTTATTGATTTTTTTTTTTTTTTTTACAGAGAGGAACAGAGAGAAACATCAATGAGAGAGAAACATCGATCAGCTGCCTCCTGCACAACCCCCACTGGGGATGTGCCCACAACCAAGGTACATGCCCTTGACTGGAATCGAACCCGGGACTCTTCAGTCCGCAGGCCGACACTCTATCCACTGAGCCAAACCGGTCAGGGCTGGAGGTTGGGTCTTGACAGAGGCCATTCAGGTAAAATGAGGTCACACTACTGGAAATACTTGTTCCACCCTCTCTTCCTGTCTAGGCTGTAGGCTACATACAGCGAAGATGATGCCTGCTTGGTTCCCAGGGAGTCCTCAGGATTTAGCATAATATAAATTTGGCACCCAGTAAATAGATGTGAAAAAACAGATCCTATGAATAATATATTATCTTTAAATTTTTTTCAATTACAGTTGACATTCAATAGTTTATTAATTTCATGAGTAACGTATTTTTCTTGTAAATTGTGTACATATCTCTGTTTCCACTTTGATCCTCTTTAAATAGCATTTTAAAACTTTCCAACATACTTTCCAACATAGTGAGGAGTTGAGAAGTGGTACAGCAAACAGATACGTCCACGACATAGATTTCCTATGTTTGCTTCCTCACATATCTATCCACCAACTCCTCTTACTTGACTGAGTTTTGAATATTAGATGCACTTGTGGTACCTGGCCACATGCCCGTTCAGTTTAGCAGATATTCCTAGGACACCTTGACCATGAGGTGAATATGCCTAAAAGTCAGATCCCAGGCCTTCATTCCCTTTATTTCCGACCCTTACCTATTTTCAGTGTAGGTATCTATTTAGGAAAGATTATCTAAGACAGTGATTTTCAACCTCTTTCATCTCATGGCACACATAAACTAATTGCTCAAATTCTGTGATACGCCAAAAAGAGTATGATATTTTTTGCCGATCTGACAAAAAAATAGGTATAATTTTGACTCGTTCACACTGGACGGCTATTATGTTGGCCGTTGTCATTTCTTTTATTTGTCAATCTCTCAGGGAAAAGAAGCCAGTGCCCCTGCCTAAACACTCGAGTATGGCATGTTTGAAAAATTCTTGGGGCACACGGGTTGAAAATCACTGGTCTAATACAGCATTTTGCCCTCAGTTTAGGATTAATAAGGAAACTGTCCAGGTAAACCAAGGGGATCTCCATGATGATGGAGAAAAGAAACCCGTGGGGCCAAAACTCAGATGGAACAAAGGACACCTCATCTGGAGGAGCCCGGGGCTGGCAGCCGCTGTCCTGCTCAGCCAGGGTCCGAGAGGGTGAACCAAGACGTGGAACTTCCCTACGGAACCGTGGTAGCACCTGACATCCCCTTGCCACCACACCCGGCCCTCCTGGCGTATCAGGAAAACCCAGTAGTCCCTGAAGGAAACAGAAGCCCAGGCTAATGAGATTGGATGCGGTCAAAACGGATACAGCCCAGGCAGCTGGCCAGGAGCTGGCGGGTCAGGAGACTGGGCTGCTCTCGGCCCTGTGTCCTCTGCAGCCCTCCTGGCTGCGGGACCAGCGGGCACCCTGGCAGCTGCTCCGGGGCTGGAGGGAACCTGGCCTCCATCAACTTCGCCAGCCCTGACATGTTCTTAGGCATTCATGAGCAAAGGCAGGAAATCAAGGTAATTTTGGTGATTTCTGCCAAGATAACGTCTTTCACAAAGGCTTCGCCTATTCTTTAAAGAATGATTAACTCTACCCCGTGGCACACATTTTGGGAGCTTGTTTTGCATGAGTTCTGGCTACACTTATTATAAGAATTTTCTCTTAGTGGATTTACACGTTAGAATCTTGAGTAACTCTGGTACCCAAACAGTCAGGGCACCATGGCCCGCAGTGGATGTGCTGTAGGAACTGTGAGCTGGCCCATCAGCAGCCTCTCCATGGTAAACACACTCTACACCGCGGCGGGTCGACCAGGGAAAGGGGTGCACGTGGTACCGTGTTAGCTTCACACAGGCCGAGTTCTCAGAAGGCTCGGAGAATGACATTAATGTAAGAGAGGGAACATATGGTTTTAACAAGTTTTCCTTTCTTTATTGCCTTTTTAATGCCGAGTTCACGATGCAGTATAAATGTTTCTCCGATGAAGGGTAAGGATCTTCTGTAAGGAAGAAGGTCCAGAAACGAATAAATTAATTTTGTATATAACTTAAAGCATCTCCATCTTGGACTGGACAAAAGCCACTGTATCTGTTTGCTTAAGATCCGTTAAAGTGGTTTCTGGTTCTTGCGGTTGAAAGAATCCCAACTCTGCCCTCAGGGATTCCTTTTTGCTCTTTAAAATAAAAACTAATGGTAAGTATATTTTTAAACTTTAATAGTAAATACCTTAAATTTTACGGTGTTTTGAAATAATACATAGTTGTGAGAAGAGCAAAAAAGAACCAGAAAATAAAAGGCACCTGTGGTTCTAATCATCCCAGAACAGACTCTGTTAATACTTGGGGGCAGTTCTTTTCCTGCTAGGCCGTGTGTGTGTGTGTGTGTGTGTGTGTGTGTGTGTGTGTGCACGTGGGTGTTGCATATGTTTTGTTTGTTTGCCTGTTTTTCATAGCTATGATCATATTATAAAATTCTCTTCTTCAATAGCCATTTATCATTTCTCAGTTCTGTGGGGTTCACCCGCTGGTCTCACCTGGTGCCACTCATGTGGCTGCAGTCACATGGCAGTGGGAGGAACCTCCCAGATGGCTGCATTCATGTGTCAGGTCCTGGGAGAGAGCCTGGGGGCTCCTTGTGCAAAAGCAGATGTGCCCAGGCCTTTCTGAAGCTCAGGACCAGAATCCCCACCTCTTGCTGTTGGTCACATGTGCCGGGATGTGCATGACATGGCCTAGGCCCCTTCCCCCCCACTTGTTCATTCCTTGTTGGGACTTTTTCTGGCTCGTCTTGCTGATTTACCATCCAAATAAACTTTATAATCAATCTGCCTGGCTCCAGGAAGAAAGAGAAGATGGTTATTTTTATTGGTGTTGCTTTAAATGTACAAATAATGGGGGAGAGAATATTTTGATGATGTTGAACCTTCTTATCTAGGCATAGGGTATGCTTTTCTCTCTGTTCAAATCTGCCGATATGTTTTTAAATAATTTTTCTCACACAGGGTTGTCACATTTCCCATTAAGTCTATGCCTAACATGTTTTATTATTTTCGAACTCTTTA